TAATGGTTGTTGTGGGTTTTTCGGGCTCTTTGTCCGTATTCTGAAGGTTGTTTTTCCTGACGTTTCACCAGTCTCTGTGGCCAGCATCTTCAGAGGACAGCACTCTGTGCTCTTCTCTGTGCTGTTCTCTGAAGATGCGGGCCACAGAGACAGGTGAAACGTTAGGAAGAACAACCTTCAGAACACGGCCAAAGAGCCTGAAAAACCCACAACAACCATTAGATTGCAGCCGTGAAAGCCTTTGAGAATTATGTATTCTTTCTCACTATTAATAATCAAGTGTGGAAGGCATCAGTACAAAATGTTCTATAAATACAGGCATATTTAAATAGTTAGAACAGCGTAAGTGGAAGCACCAATGGCTATATAGACAATTCTACTCTTAAATTAAATCCCCTGGCATAAAATATTACCTGCTCTCTTACTGTACCTTGTTTAGCCAACAATGAAGTTTCTGTTGTTGTGATCCATGAAAAAAAACATTCCAAATTATAAAAAGGCAGTTTCATCTAAGCAAACATAAGCACCCCTTTTCTAGTTGCACCTGCAATACAAAACACTGCAAGCATCAACATTTCCTCAGGAACTACTGCACTTGAAAACTGTGCTCACCTCTTAATTGTAAGACTTGCCTGAAAACAGAGCTGGGAAACATTGTTTTAACTAGAATTATTCTAGGAGAAAGGTATCCAGTATCTGGCCTATTTATTTGTTTCCGACCTTTAAAAAATGAATGTCTTACATTTACATTTTTTAGAAGTAATTAATTAAAAATGCCATAAATATCCCAGTGCCTCCTTGAAATAATGTGCTAAAACAAGTAACATTAATTGTCACTAAAAATATCAATGCTGTTGATCTTGATTTTAATGCTAAAAATAATGCTAGCATCTTAAAAATGTAGCAAGTAACCAGCTGAATTCCTGTTGCTGTACCATATGGGTGATGATGTCATCATCACCTGCAATCAGCACTGGGACAACTTTACTGGTGGTGGCAATTTGGGGAGCGAAAGACTCCTTCCCCATCCTGCTACCCTCACAGCTTCCCAACGATGAAAGGGATTACGGAGGAGCCTTGCGACCTTTGCCAGAGAAGCCAGAAATGTTTGATTTCTAAAAAATCACAGCTGTTGTTGCTGTCATCAGCCTTACACAGTATAAATTGTGACAACAGGATTTTAGCCATAGGGTTAGTTATGAAGAGTTATCTTTCACCTGTTTCCAAGCTTAATGTTCAGGCTTAGTTCTGTTTGCAAATAAGTCCATTAACATAGTCATACATGTTAACTTACTTCTGGGTAACCATCAGAGGTTGTCCAGCAGTGCAGGGCATACCCTGGCAGGGTACTGGCCTACACTGGCCCTTCAATTATTCCGTACACATTACTGACTGAAACTGCTGCAACCAAAGTGACTGACGTCCCACTATCTATGCTCTCAATTGATACAGTAAGTAAAGCACATTTGCAAAATTAGTTCATCTGCTTGCATTCATCCCAGTTGGCTCCTGAAATCTTTAAGGTGTGATATTCTAACACATCTAGAATTAGATTAAAAGAAACAAATTTGTGTGAAAATGCAGAGAAACTAAAGGCACCTTCTCTGTGAATTTCCAAGCCAAGCTCGGCACACTTCGGATTCATCATTCACCGCAAGCATCACAGTCACCACAGTTATTTCCTGCTCTAATTATAAGACACATTTGTGGTTTCTTTGTCGAGGCTTCATTTCTTCCTGTCTGTTTGATATTGCCACTTGGATGACTGGACTATGTCCCTTGGATTTTATGGCCAAATATCCTTCTCCTATATTTCAGTTGAACTATTTTGTACTTCCCTTCCAGAAAGTTGGTCCAGTTTGAATGGAACACTAAATTATGGCTTTGTACTTGTGCACTATCTTCTCTCCTCCCCTTTCACATGGTCTTGCCACCGGTGATGAATAAGTTCAAAATTTTACTAACTGCATTTCATTCACAAAAATTGTGGGATGGTATAGAAAGCATGTAAATGATAAAATAACAACAGCAACAACAACAATAAATTGTGTGCCATCAAGTCCATTGCAACTTATGGCAACCCTTTCCAGGGTTTTGTTGGTAAAGAGTACCAAGATGCAGCTTACCATTTCTTTTTTTTTCCTGGGGGCTCTCTGGGACTGTGAAGCTTCCTGAAGGCCACACAAGCTGCCTCTTCAGGGACACACAGTGAGGAACTGAATTCCCAACCTCTAGCTCCACAGATAGATACCTCAAACACTAAGCTATCCAGCCAGCTAAAGATCAAATGCCATATAAAATATCAAACCTAAGAGTCATGAGAACTTTTCAACTAGCAAAGAAAACTGCAACAATAAAATAGACTAATTTGAAATACAATTTTATTTTTTTTAAATTAAAATGCCTAAGCAAAAAGGAATGTTAAAATTTATCAGCAAACAGAAAAGGACATTGATGCCCCCTGTGACTCTTTTAGAAAGGTAATCCAAAGTTAGGCCATCACAAGAGAGAAGACTTTATCCTCAGAGCATTTATCCCATGGATGGTACGTGAAGGGCTCCACTGAAGATATCAGAGAACAGGCATGATGATGTGGGAGGAGGTGCTCCTGGGTGATGTGGGAGAAAGCACTCCTTAGGAATTTGATCCTTAAGCCATTAGGCCTTTAAGATGATAACCAGCACCTCAGATTCAGCTGTGTAGTGAAGAGGGAGCCTTAACAACTAGTACAACATGGCGCCATCAGGATGAACCATTCAGAATTTTAACTGCTGAATTCTGCACAAGCTGTAACTTTCAAACTTTTCAAGGGCAGCCCTACACATAACACATGTAACAGTAATCTGTCCAGGATCCTGGATGTTAGCAGAGGATTAATTACTTTGTGAAGGCTATTCTTATCCCTATCCAGCAAAGGCCTCAGCTGTTGAATCAACAAAAGCTGGCAAAAGGTAGTCTAGACTTCTAATGCTACTTAGGTCTCTAATAACAGGCAAAAAGCTTCCACTCTGGTTCTTTACATCCAAACTCAAAACTGTCTTTTAATATAAGGCATGATTTAGGCAAACTAGTTAGCTTCATAGCTCATGCTTGGAAGCTTGTTCATTCCTCTAAAACCATGGCCCAAACTGGCAACATGGTGTATATGTTAACACTGGTTTTTGCAGCTTCCCAGCTCCCAGTCAAATGCCCAACAATGCAACTGATTGCATGGCCCATTGCAGAACTAAAGAACTATGGGGCTTGTGACAGACAGATAGCAAATTGTCTTCCATTGCTTGTGTAACTGCTGTCACTTGATTGCATAACAGCAATAAGATTTCAGTCGTCATTTTTACTTTTCTCTCCATTCATAGTGAGTTTTCCAAGATTTCTGATTCTTATTCTTACAATGTTATCATTTCATACAGTTCTTCAGCATTATCAATCTGCATTTAAATGTCAATTGATGCTGCTTTTAAAATCCCAGCAAATGTGAGAGATGCAGAAATTAGAAATTTACAGGACACTGTAAAATGTGCTATAATCTGGCTCAGTTGACTGTTCTGTCCACCATCACCAGTTCATCAGAAATATAGTTTGGCTTTTTCCAAACCTAGTTCTAACTCACATCAAACCTCCTCATGCACAAACCTCCATCAACTTTCCTACTATCGATTCTCTGATTTAATGTCATGAAAGTCCCATTTTAGCTTCTAGAAAATAATTTGTGAATACTTTAACATTTTTGCTATAGACTAGAAAACAAAGTCTTCATTTAAAAATACAGGATATAAGTTTTAAAGACAGAATTTAAAATGTGTGAAGCTATTTTTGGTATTTTGTCAACCCTAACCTTTAGCTTCTCTGCCACATCATACTATATGACAACAAAAAATCTCCATAAGAACTGGTTCAAAAACCATAAATACGAGATACAAAATGCACATATTTTTAAAGTGATCCTTTCAGTGATGAAATATGAAGTGCAAATGGATATGCACTATTATTAATTTAATATTAAAATGCACTATTATTAATTTAATATTTCACTAAATGGATTAAACATATCTAATTCTAATATATTTGCATGAATTCTGAATTCTGCTGTTAAATAAGCCTAGAAAATTATTGGAGGTGGATGCCTCTTAATTATGAGCAAAAAAAAAAAAGTGAGCAAGAAGTTAGCAGAGTGAAGATGTCATTATCATAACTGACTAACAGTTTCCATATACTTCCTATTTGTTTTGGTGCTGCTGCTACACTATGAGTCCACACAATGAAGAAATATTGATGGGTTATGTGGTAAATACATAATGGTTTTCACAATTCCCATCCTAAATGATGTTATCCAAATACAAGTCTGTTTCAGCTCAAACAAACTCACTTTTTTATGAGTAAGGCTAGATTTCACACCTTAGGGAAAAGTAGTGTAGACACATTTAATTTTTCACTCACCATTTGAGATCTATTCTTTGGACAGCCATTGATGTCTTCAATCTTCTCATTTGCTAGAAAATGGGCAGAAAGAATGATTGGAAACAAAACATAACAAAACTTGTCGTAAAGACACCTGGCTGAGTTATTCCCAGAGCACTTGTTGTAACTAAATCAAACAGCCTGGAGCTGGGGTAGCCCCATCAAAACAAATGTGTGAAACACCAAGAGCCATGTGGCTAAATTCTTCTCTGGAGCCATTCCTACAGAGACAGCTGAAGAAGGTCACCACCATTTCAAAAGGAGACAACTGGCCTGACAGCATTTCTTAAAGTGATGGGTAATCTTTAGCAACTTTCAAATCTGGAAGCCACATAACTCTTTATACATCAGTACACATATGGTTGGGTGGTTAACATGCCATGCATGTGTACCAGCCACACTAGATGCTGTTCCAAGTCCTCCATACAGAGCACGTTACCATAGTCTCTCGGGGCTGAAGGATGCCTAATCTAAGTGTACTAGTCAAATTCAAATATTTTTTAAAAAATATTCATTTATCACACATAAAAGTAGAATGGGTAAAGTTTGTCTCCTTCTGAAGAAACATAAGACCTGTACCCACACAATGTCTCTTTCTCTTGAAACACTTATAAGACCTGCACCCACACAATGTACATGCCCATAGCAGAAACATATCCCAGTACTATGTAGTTTAATCCAAAATTGCAAAAAAATATTCAGAATTCTAATTGAAAGGATTCCATTTCCCCCCAACAAGCAGCTGTCTGTCTCAGTTCTTTCAAAGCTTTCTGTACTATCACAGCTATTGAGATGGTGACATCAAAGCATCTGAACAAACAGAGACGAGGGGTTTTGAAAGGAGTTACCTATTAGGCTCTATGCAAAATCACAGAAGGCAAGGCAAGACTAAAGAAAGATATGAACAAAAGAAGAGGATTGTTCCTGTTTGCTTAATGCCTATGAACTCATTGACTATGCTGTTTATATTTCATACATACCTATTGCTAATGAGAAAAAGACCCTATAGCAATATATATGCACATGCTCTTCCAGGATTCAGAAAACCTAGCTAACTCAGATCCCCAAAAGTGGTAAGAAGCCCTGTCCACAATGTTGTGCATGTCTATACCTTTCTTCATTACTACCATGTATTCACTCTTGGAATATGGCCGTAAAACATGAAGAGGAATAGTTAGTGAGGGCAAACCCCTTCATATGAACACCCTTTAACTCACACGTATAACTCACAGAGGGCTACTGTTAGGACATACCAAAGAGAAAGGAGAAGCAGAAAAAGGGCAGGAGTTATAAGTAATTACTTCCATGCTTCAGGTGACGAACAGGATCCCTTGGTCAAAAGTCTACAGTTAAACTAAGGATATGACTATAACCTCCACTTTCCAGGAATATCGTACCCAGTGGAGCCCATTGATTCACTGTTGTTTGGAGAATGCTGAAATTTGGAGTAAGGGGTGACAATCAGATTAAGCTATATAATATAGGGCTTATGAAATGTTAAGCAGACCCCCATGCACCACAACTGTGGCATTAAAAAATAGAAAAGAAATTCCACAGCAGCAATACCTGAATTCTGAAGTAACAGATCTGTCTCTTCTCACTGCTTCCCTACTACCACACATACACAAATATGGCATCTGGGAGAAAGCATGCACTGAGCAAAAATAAGAGCCTTTTAAAAATATCCATTCCCTACATTCTCGGAGGATGAGTTATGGCTTCCTCCTTCTCCATGTCAAAGGAGAAAATTAAGTAGCTTAACTCAGAGTAGGATGTGGCTTGGCCTAGCATTGGTTTTTACTAGATGGGCAGATCAAAAACCAGGGGCAAATCATTAAAGGAATGCTTGGCTTCAGCTCTCCAGTGACAGACACATTCCAAGACAACTAGCTTCCACATGGAGACGCATAGTATTAAAAGTCAAATGTAGATGGAAACAGTAGAGAAAGAGAATGTCTTCTCTGTACTATAGGCTACAGTCTTTAAATAACTTTGCAGGACAGCTGCTGGTTTTCCCAAACATATATATAGAAATGAAATTCACCAGCAAACCAAATTCCTTATGGCAAATCAAATGTCTGGAGAGGATCAATGCATACCGACTCTATTTTCTATCCATTGGTATGATGAACCTTTCTTGAATTCACATTGATATGGGCCTACTGCATGAGACAGTAGGTGCGCTTGTCAAACCATAGTCAGCAAAAAGATACTGTTACATTTATGTCCTATTTGTTGGCTTCCCAAAGTTGACTGATTTGCCACTGTGCAAACAGAAAGTTGGACTCAGTTAGGCCTTTGGTCTCATTATTGGGGGGGCTTCTTATATTATCAAGTTTTGTCAGACTGCTACACTCTTCCCTCTCTTCCAAGGAGGCCTGAAAAGGTGGGTTCTTTTCATGTTAAACCCCGTCCTTTCCCCTTCAGGACTTGGATCAAAGTAATGAGAAAACTGAGAATGTGGGGAAATCACTTAGTGAAAATACTAAGACCAGGCAGTCAGTTCTGACGATGTGTTAATATGAAAGGAAAAACTGCATGAGCCATGAAATGTAGGAGCCACAAATGCACACAAGAGGAAATGCTGCCTATAAACCATGATTAATGCCACCCTGCTGGTTCCAGCAAGGCTTGATAATAACACATGCTGATGGTTTTGAGATGTGGTAGCAGCTGAAAGCTGTCTTCTGGGTATTCACAATTCAAAAAGATAATCACACTAATAGGGTATGTTAAGATCTTTTTTAAAAGCACTCATCCCCCAGTGAAATTGTTTTATATTATTCCAGCTATTGCAAGTGCTGAAACTGAATACACACATACACCACTGCTCACTTGTATGCACAATCTAGCCAAGACATTTATGTTGCTGGTTTTATCCAACTACACAGTTCTGACATTCTTCTGAAGGTTTTTGTGGGTTTTTTTTTAAAAGCCCTACAAGATCAAACCAAAAGGCCCAGGCTTGTTTTGCCTGACAGGAGACATATAAATACCTATGGGAAGCCCACGGGGAGGACATGAAGAAAATGGTATATTTTGCCTGTTGTTCCTCATCACCTGGTATTCAGAAGTTTACTGCCTATTACCTCTGACCCTGGAAATAATAGATGGCCCACTGACAGCTTTATCTTTCACAAATTTGCCTTATTTCTCTTTTCAAAGCCTTGAAAGTTCATGACAATCATCCCATCTTGTGAAGGTGAGTCCTATACTCCATGAAAAAAGTACTGTACTTCTGTTTGCCCTGAATCTCCCATCATCATTCACATTCTTCATACGTTCCAGCTACCAGGCTCAATACTTCTCATAGTCTCTCCATAAGCATTCACATAAGGCACAAAAAGCTGTGTGAGAAAAGCTCAGAGATCATTTTGTGTATTTTTAAAAAACAGAAATGGTGTCCAGTATAAAATGAGCAAAAGACTTTTTGTGAACATGGAACGTGCTGTTGTGAGTCTATCCAATGATCTGGGACTAATGGAAAATTCAAGACATACTGAAATTGAACAGGCAACCTCCTCCTGCCAGCATAATCCTTGCCCATCTGTAGTCTCCAACATAGTTTTCTCAGATGAACAAAGTAAACCTTGCACATGCATGTGCATGCACACATGTGCATACATGTGCAGGAAGTTTGTGTTTTTTAAAAAACTGAACAAGCAGAAAATGTATATGCCTTTTTGTTGTTGCTTCATTTTTTAAAAAGTCAATTAAGCATGCTTCCCCCTGGAAGAGCGCTTTTAAATTCCTAAAGTACTGCAGAGACTCCTATTCAGAGCCACATTTTTTTACTTAACTATGCCGAGGTTTCGGTGGTGGCCAAGAGTACATTTGCACAGTTAAAACTAATGTGCAACCATTCCTAGAGAGTCTGACATGGTCACAGTGACACAGGCCTTAGTTACATCCTGGCTAGATTACTGTAACATGCTCTTTGGAAAGTGCTCAGAAAAAACAGTGGATCCAAAATGCTGCAGCCAGGTTGTTAATTAGGGCTGGTTTTAACCTATAAAGTCCTAAAGGGCTTGGCTCCAAGCTATTTTAAAATAGCCTGTCCCTTTATGAGCCTGCCCAGGTGTTAGGATCATCAGGGGAGATCTTTCCCTTGATTCCAGCACCCTCAGTACAGACACAGGAGAGAGCCTTCTCCCAAACTCTGGAACTCCCTCCCACAGGAGGCCTGACTGACCCCATCTTTGCTGTTCTCCCTCAAGCAAGCAAAGACCTTTCTCTTCAGGCAAGCTTTCCCTAAGTGACTGTCTGTCAAGGACACAATAAACTGGATGGTTTACATTTTGTTCCTTCTAAATCTCTTTTTCATAATGCTTTTTAATAGAATGTCGTTAATTCTTTACAATTTGAATAATTTACTGTTTTTAGTTTTTAATATTGTGTTCTGAATTATGTAAGCTGCCTTGCATCCTTTTTAAGGAGAAAGGCAAAGAAGAATCATTTAAATAAAATAATAAATAATTAAATATGTAGGTCCACTTAATCAATGACTCACCAAATCCCCATCAATTCAATGGGCCCATTCTTCTTGTAACTTACTACTGGGTATCAACCTATAAATAATACAACTTAATCTAAACTAGAAATGAGCTATGCTTATTTATTTGTCTGTAGCAACATTCTCCCCAAAGCTAGCTTTCTATGAATGTCTCCTCCCAGATGTTAAGACACAGGGACATGCCCTTCTGAAATCTGTGCTATTGGTATTTGTCAATCCTGTCAGAGACTGACTTCATAAAGAGATGGTTTGTCTACGTGACTCCTCCCACAGACTGGGCTCCAAGGACCTCTTGGTGCCAGACATTGAAGAAATAGCTGGCTGTGTGGAGTTCCACTGAGCAGTGGCAAGTCTCTACAGTAGCAGGGCTCTCCAAAGGCACTGGTGGCAAATTTGCTTGACATTATCACTTCAGTTTCCCTTGTCATATGGTCATATCGTGTGAGTTGCTGTTGTTGTTTAGTCATTAAGTTGTGTCCGACTCTTCATGACCCCATGGACCAGAGCACACCAGGCCCTCCTGTCTTCCACTGCCTCCCAGAGTTGGGTCAAATTCATGTTGGTAGCTTCAATGACACTGTCCAACTATCTCGTCCTCTGTTGTCCCCTTCTCCTCCTGCCTTCACACTTTCCCAGCATCAGGGGATTTTCCAGGTAGTCTTCTCTTCTCATGAGATGGCCAAAGTATTGGAGTCTCAGCTTCAGGATCTGTCCTTCCAGTGAGCACTCAGGGTTGATTTCCTTCAAAATGGATAGGTTTGTTCTCTTTGCAGTCCAGGGGACTCTCAAGAGACTCCTCCCGCACCACAATGCAGAAGCACCAATTCTTCAGCAGTCAGCCTTCTTTATGGTCCAGCTCTCACTTCCATACATCGCTACTGGAAAAACCATAGCTTTGACTATGCAGACCTTTGTCGGCAAGGTGATGTCTCTGCTTTTTAAGATGCTGTCTAGATTTGTCATTGCGTAGTAGCCCCCACAGTTCTTGATCATTTAAATACAACTGTTTAGTTTCGGAAAACTACTGGGGTTTATTGCAAAACCCAATAAATAGATGTTGGGTTACCAATATTTTCCCAATCCCACAAATTTTCTTCCCCAGAAAGTTTTGTTGTGAATAGAATGGCAAAAACATGATAGAAAATAGTTATAATTTTTAATTTTAAAAATAATTTCTACTTGTTTGCTTATAAATATACACCAGACTATAATTCAGCAAGCAGAATGTCAGAATAGGGCTTTATTCTAGACTTCTGAAGCTTTCAATCAACCAAATTCTATGGATGAGCTGACATGCTGTAGCTTCCATTTCATCAGCTGTAATCAAGCTGAGGCTGCTATCACCAAGGGTGTATGTTATCAGTTTGGATGTGGCAATGAGATTCATTTTGCCCAAAGCTAGTACACATTGCATGCAAACATCTACAGTTCTTTCCATGCTAATTTGGAAGTCAAAAATAGGATCAGGTTTCTTCAAACAGAGATTTTAATTTAAATGAAAGATATCATCAACTTAAAGTAATTTATTTATTTATTTATTTATTTATTAACTAGGGCTCTGCTTCAGATCTGGCCAAATCCTACATCCAGAAATCAACTGACCAGATTTGGACAGGGTCAGGAGATGTCTGAATCAAAGCTGAACTCCTCCAAGTGGACGGATCTGAACTGGACTGAAAATTTATTAGCAGCTTGAATTTGTACAGATATAAACAGTCCAAATATTGATACATTTCTCCCAAGCTCTCCATTTAAGGAAAAACAGGGGGCCAAAGAGAAGGGAGGACAAGGGAGTGTCATTCTTGTGACTGGCAGCTTCAGGTTCTAATGATCGTTCTACTAAAGCTGCTGAAAGTCACAGTTTTACAGGAAAAATGCTGAAATGTTGCTCACTACTGAAGACTATTTTCAGCTAGTCCCATGTCTGCAGAATATGAGTTTTAAAACTGTTTTGGAGGCTGTAGCACTGGATGACTGTTTAGGAATTAATGGTTAGGCAAGATTTCCATGATATGGTCCGAAGCCAACGTCCTCCCTGGTTTTACTGCTCATTTTCTACTTTGTTGTAGAAAACTATACAGAAGTCTTAACTGGTTTCATTACAGCTTCCTAGCCCCATGTCTTGGTCATTTATTCTAATTGCCATTTCATCTCTCTGGATTCAAATTTAGATTGAGACTAGAGTGAAATCAAGTAGCATCTAAATCAATCTAAGTCAAATTGGTCTGTTGACCAAACTACTGAATAGGGGTCCAAACATTATCATCTTATATACATTGGTATTCTCTTCCTACTTTTTGAAATGGTGCCACATTCTACTACATTTGATGAAGGCAGTGAATGTAGATTTTCTAGCCATTTAAAATTACTAAGAGCAGCTTAGGAAATGGTGGCTGCATTGAGAAAAATTTGAGATAACACATATTTGATTAATCATATTCTCAAAAAACCCCACCTTTTAATAGCGTGTGTCTGTGCACGTATATAATGTTCATCTTGACAATTTCGATTAAAAAGGTATTAGGAATTTATGAACAAGAAGACCTTTTTCTTCAGGCAGGTTTTCCTTAGTGACTGACTCTCTGAGAAGGATTTTTAAATGGATTGTTGTCACTTCTTGCTTTATATGTGCTTTGGCAATGATTTTGTTCACCATTTTGGTGTGGTATTTGTTTGACTCTTTTGTAATATTTGTATACTTAGTTTTTTAGTTTTTAAACATTGTCTTCTACTGATGCAAGTCGCATTGGATCCTTTTTAAGGAGAAAGGCAGGGTAAACAAACAAACAAATTGAAAAGCTGCTGGTGCAAAGAATAAACATCTACTAACGTTGACTAAATTACAGTACGTGTTAGTACTAGTACTATATATTTTTATTTATTTAAAACATTTTACCCTGCCTTTCTCCGTAAAAAGGAACGCAGGCTTCTTCCATCATTAAAAACACAATATTAAAAGCTAAAAACAGTAAACTATTCAAATATACAGAATAAATACAATTATATTTCAAATGTTAGGTAGAAGCACTACTAAAAACAGGTTTAGAAGCAAAAAAATATAAATCATCCCATTTATTGTCTCCAATATCATCCTTGCCCATGGAGAGAGAAAGGGAGAGAATGAGGTCAAGATGGACCACCCAGAAGCCTCTCGCCAGCAAAGGACCTATATGTCTCTTCTAGCACTTCTGGCAGAAAATGTCAAATGTCAGAATTCTTCACTTGTTCCTTCTAATTCGTACTGATGGACATTTGCAGTGTTCAGCTTGCTTTTATCCCATCCATATGGGTGACAACTGCGTATGGATGACTTGCTGAAGGGAAATAATTAATCTGACAAACTGGCCTGGCAAAAGTGGAAGAGGAGGATATAACCCAGTGCAGTGAGCTGCACTGAGTCCTTGCTTCTTTTTGGTGTTAACATGAGCTGAAGATGCCAGAAATACAGAACACTGGACCTTTCATTAAATTAAACTTTTCCAGCTTATTTCTACACAATAATCTTCCAGGATACCATCCTGTCCAGATATACTACATCCTTTACAGATAGCTAAGGCAAAGGGCTCCTTGTGCCTCACTCGATTTTTTTGTACTTCCTAACTGTGCACTGTGTAAAGACGCAGGCTGGCAGCTAAATGTGCAAAGGAACTTTATTTAAAATAATTGTGTTTGAAGTGACATGAAGATCCTGTCTATGCCGTTCACTCCATGGTTCGTCATTTGCACAGCCTCCAATGATATTATTGGGTGAGCACACACTGGTGAACCAGCTCTTATAATACAAATTCATGTATGCCCACTTATAAATAAGTGCCATTTAATTCAGTGGTACTTACTGCCAGTATGTATGTGTGTGTGTGTGTGTGTGTGTGTGTGTGAGAGAGAGAGAGAGAGAGAGAGAGAGAGAGAGAGAGTGAGTGAGTGAGTGAGTGAGTGAGTGAGTGAGTGCAGCCTCAAAGTCTATATTCCTAAAACTGTATGAGTAGCCATTGACTTACATGTACTTAAATTTAGATCTCTACCTTGATTTCTACCATCTTCGTCTTTATGTTTGAAGCCATCCAAGATTCCAGCTCATTGTTTTCAAGAACAGTTTTTCTTAATTTCATTAAACCTGCAGCATTCCTAAAATCTACCATTTTATGTGTAGATTTTCAATTTTAAATGTGCTTTCTGAACCCAGGTTGTTCTTGCTCAGCTTCACTAATAACGACCTCAAATCATCAAGGTGAAGGGGGGGGGAACAGGGAACATTTAAAACGAATGACTTAACAGCCATACTGAACAGTCAGTGGTTCATAATCACCATCTTGCTATTACTGTTTCATTGCCTTCCTTTATATCAGTAAGTCAAGAAAATGTGGCAGCTACCAGAGATAACTATTTACCATAATCCTTTCACCAAACGTTTTCTTCAAAACATGGCATAAAAATTACTGCTTTTACAAATACTTTCTTTTCTTTTTTCATAGAAGACAAGGTACATCATCAAACTGTCGTGATTTGAAACAGCAAAAATCAAAGTTACTCACCTACAACCTGGATTATTTCTGCCAGTAAAACTCCATCAGTCACATCTTGCTGCAGGTCCTTTATCAAACGTTTATGGCCAGACTTTGCCAAATAGTGATTGGCCCAATCTGTATAAATCTGTTTTTTAAAAAAAGGGGGGGGAGAGAGAAAGAGAGAATCAAGGTTACATATTAGGCACTTAAATTAATTTGGTTTAAAACCATAATTTTCTCACTCAAATGAACCACCAGGGTCTACAGTCCCTGGAATAGAATGCCGTCCTTCTTTTTCCTGAGCTGTTTGAAACAAAGTTAGCAACATTAAAATTCAAGGCATTGTGCTGATCAAGTATTCAGCTTATTATAGCAGGGCTTTCTTGTATAGAGAAATTTGACATCAGAGCTGGAAGAAACTAAAGAAAGCTTCTAAACATGCTACAGCCTGAATGGGTTATCAGACATGGAACTAAACAGTCTGCAAGAAAGACTGGGGTGGATTTTCTTTATTTATACTAAAGAATTCAACATTTCCCTTCTGCCCCACTCTTTGGAGTCCTGAAAGTTATTTTTAAAAGGAAAATGTTCCAAAGATAAATGTTACCTATTTTTGTAAATGTTAATAATTTGTAGCAATTGAAAAGTATTAGAGTTGTTTAAAATAACAAATTCCTTGAGAACACAGCAAGGAATTTTTGTTACTGTATATTGCCATTTATTTTGTATGTGATTCTTTTATCCTACACAGTACCAGACAACAGCAGCTCCAAAATAGGTTTCCAGATTTATTTTGAGAAACACACACACATATATATATATATCCCTTTGGTCCCAAACTATCAGTCACATGCACATGCCCACTGAAAATTTCTCCATGGGGAAATTTGATATTTTACAAATTGATTCGCAGATTTAATTATTTATTTTTTAAAAGTACAATGCAATATAAACAGATTTAAAATGTAATCAGTGTTTCCTGGAAGAGCTGATTTACCAGAAACTGTATCATAGCCGTATCAAAATTATATTCTGCATTCCATTTTATGATATCCAGCCTATTATATATATGTACCTGTACTCACAATGATGCTACTTGAACAGTTTTTCTCAAATAGTTCTATCTGTAACCATCTAATTTAAGTCTACTTCCTGAGTCTACTTCCTGAGTAAGTCTACTTCTGAGTCTTTTAAAAAAGAATTAAGATTTAAGAAACCGCATGCATGAACTGAAAAGAAAATGTCCACTGTGTTAGACCCACCATTTTTAAACCAACCAGCAGGAGTATCACCAAGTGGAACTCCACTCAGAATGTTCCTGCAGGAGGAAATAGGTCTGCACTGGAAGCACTCTTCTGATGCCCTCTTCTGCAGCCAATAAAACCATCTTCTTCACTGTTTTAAAGCATCTCCTAACCCTTTGAAATACAGTTTTACTGAGGATCAAAAATACTGCAAAAATACTGCAAAGCCAGAAAGGATCTTTCTCTCTATGAGAAACTTTTGGTGGATCTGAACCATTGATCCTTCCACAGCTATATTAAATGTTTTGCAAACATTTAAATAAAACAAACTATATCCTATAAAGGGACGTGGTGGCACTGCGGGTTAAACCGCAGAAGCCTCTGTGCTGCAAGGTCAGAAGACCAGCAGTCGTAAGATCAAATCCACATGACCGAGTGAGCTCCCATCACTTGTTCCAGCTCCTGCCAACCTAGCAGTTCGAAAGCATGTAAAAATGCGAGTAGATAAATAGGTACCACCTCGATGGGAAGGTAATGGTGTTTCATGTCTAATCACGCTGGCCACGTGACCACGGAAACTGTCTTCAGACAAACACTGGCTCTATGGCTTGGAAACGGGGATGAGCACCGTGCCCTACAGTCGGACACAACTGGACTAAATGTCAAGGGGAACCTTTACCTTTACTTTACATCCTATAAGCATGGTGTAAATTCAAATTGTTTTTATTGTGGATGCCATCATGATGCACTGTAAATGTAACAAAGGAAGTGATGGAAAGTCAAACTTCAGAACATGATAAATTACATGGAAATGTTACAGTATCTTAATAAGAAAATGTTTGTTGGCTGTAGGATAATGGGATGAAAGTTGTTTAGGAGGTCATTGCATTCGACCGCTGCTATTATTTTCATAAATGCAAAGTCCACATCTTCTATTAGCCTCATACAATCTGACCTCTTGTCATATCACGTTTACATCATTCTGGGGCTTTCCAGTGGTTCAGAGTACAGGGAAGTATCCAATTAAACACACAAGCATACAAAATTAATATACTAGTTAATAGAATCCAAACTCCCATCTATGTGATTTAGTTACATATTCAGATACATAAAGAATATTTGACATGGAAAGCTAAATAGAAAACTGTTTGGTAGCAATCAAATTAGTGAAATTGATAAGCAGATGCCATTTAGAAAATATAACAGCAGGATGTAGGACTGCTGGTTCTTGACGCATTTGAAAACCAAAAATGCCATTAATATTTTCTATTTGTTAAAGACAAAATTATTTCATCTAATGCAAATGTACTTGCAATACAATTATTTATAAGGGAAGGAGTGGGGTTATGGTTTTTTGATTTATATTATAGCACATTTTTATGAATACTAAACTGCCAACACTGTTAATTTTTAAAAAGCTGTTACTTTACATTCATTGCTAGGTCTCCAAGCATGTATTAAATTAATTGAAGATTTATGGCAAAAGCATTTTATTGCTATTGCCTGCTAGGGCCATCTTAAACTTTCTCAGTTTTGCAAGACTAGACTATATCAGTAAGAAAGCACCATCCCAAGTATCTGAAGAAGACGACAGTTGATTACAACACTAAGTGATTCCAAGTTTTTCCATTTTCTCTGACAAATTAAAAATAAAAGCTACATAGCAATTGATTGATTAAAGTGGCTGAAAAAAGACAAACAAAATAGTTGCAGTAAAAGAACTAGGAAAGCTTTTATGTGATTATTTGTATATACATACACACACAGGCTCAATCCAACTTTTGGTCCCAACTGAACTAAAGCTAATAAATCAATGGAATGAACACAGGGTTCAGTGAACTGCAGGCTTCCTAATGTAGTTTTTGTCACTGGCTATGCTGCTTAGAGAATTGCACTCCAGCAATATCTGGAGGGTCACAATTTGCCCAGCACTGATTTAAGAAATTGCATTCAATGGGACTACTCTAGTTGCAGCTAACAACTGAATTTCAACTGGCTCTCTAGGCAAAAATGCTGAAACTTTACAGGGATCTGAAACTCCTGCAGCTGCCTTATGATAAATCAAACTACTAGTTCATCTAAACTGGAACTGTTCACTTGTAAGAGGCACTACTCACTCAAGATTTAGCAAATGGCGTTTCCATGGCATATTGTCAGATACTTGTCTAACAATCTGGGACTTTATTTGTACAAAGCACATGTTCCACCAGCAATAGCAAAATTACATGTGAAATTGGCAGCTGTCTCCTATGACACACCTTGCCACTGGTTTTTTCCTCAAGCGTTGTTCTACAATTCAACAAAACTCTGATACACAAAGTGATTTTAAATAGAGGGAAAATATCCTTGTGAAGAGGGGCTAAGATGCACTCGTTTTTCCTATTACAATCTAGACCTTATATTTTCACTCTGTATTGCTGCTATTATGTACAGCATGGATCTTCTGTTTCTTCTGATTTTAAAAAAAAGATTGCTGAAGACCTTGTACTCACAAACTGAAGAACTGCTGTTAAGTCACTACAGTTGAGCTGTCTGTATGTTGGGGAAAAACTTTGACATGCATCCTTTTCATTATCTAGATTTGAATTAGGGGCGTGACAAGTCAATATTGTTTTTGCAAATATAACCCAGCATTTTTCAGTTCACTGCAGAAATATTATCGGCGGACCAATCAAGGTTTTGACAGATAACCTTGTGAAGTCTATACAAATAGGACATTGCCTGTAAGAAAAGAAGAGTACAAACCAGGGAAACAACTACATTCTAAAAGGTGCAAGCTTAAAAACAACATGCTAGGGAAGATCTTCAAGCATAGCTGTAAAAAATGCAGGTTTGTCAAACACGCAGCCCAGTGCTCTTGGAGGGCACACAACTGCAATTAGTGTATGGCACATGAACTGCAGGAAGGACTCTTCTATTATATGTCCTCATGGATACGCTGTTAAACTGTCAGTTTGTATATATTTACACTCAGCTTTATTACTCTGACAATCTTGTTAATCAAATATTGAATTAAACTTTATTTTATAAAAGCTTCAACTACGACATGACAAATGATGAAATTTCTGAATGTGGCTGTTCTCATTAGACCCAAATGAATGTTTGATTTTCTGTAAATGTTTATGGTTAGTATTTTACAAATGGGTATTCCCAGTACATTGCTGGGTTGTTATTGTTTTGTTATTGTCAGGATTTGTTCCTTTAACTGAACAAGAGGTTAAATTTAATATTGTAGTGAAAATGCAAAGTCATGCCTGTAACGTCAAGTCAATGGATGACTGATAGCATAGAGATGGGACAAGCTTAGGTAATGCTTGTTAAACATATTCAGCTGTGATGTTTGCAGTGATAAGCTGCTCTCACTATTTAAGCAAGTGAGAACAGCACTTCGCCACTCAGTTGTAAGTCTGGTGGTCATTACTTATGTGAATGTTTTGTTGTTCTGAGATGTCTATGCCAATGTATATATTACCATGTACATAGGTCTGACCAAGTTTAATATATAATGCTATAAGTCTTATTAGAACCCCCTCCATGAATTTTCTTATACGTCTGTGTCTTTACTCTGCTTATTAAGGGGAGGATTTGAAGCTACCAGATAAGAGACTTTGTGTAACTTGTTATCTTGGGCTCCAAGGTTTGTTTTCCCTAACAAGGTGCTCTTGGAAGCTTCATTATCTGAAACTGACTACAAGCTTCAGGAGAGGCAATACGCCATATCAAGCCTCTGGAGTTGGCCCCACAACAACAGTTATATGATACAATGCTCTGCCAACTGTAAATAAAGGTGGAGATAACTTGACAAATGGAAAATAGAGTCTTTAAGGATATAATGTATTATTTTATGGAATACCTTATCAAATCATGGTTTTGGAGTTCCCATTTGGATTTTAGTGTAAAA